TGCTGTCTTGTCAAAAGGCGGCGGAGGCGGCAGAGGAGGGGGAGGGGGAGGTAAAGGAGGAAGTAGTGGAAGTAGCGTGTTCTGACTTGTGCAATACCCGTTAGCTAACTTCGTTGAATGGAGTTGCCTGGTTATATGCATAGAAGAATCATGTTATTAAACAAAATCATTCGGGTTTAATGGCGAGTTTGGCAGTTAATGCGCTGTCCTCAGAACATAAAGTGGTTTATTTTCTTCGACGGGATTGATCGCAGTGTCCCGGGGGGAAAAATAATAAAAAACTTTGTCAATCAATCTTGCAAAGCAAAAAGCTGATGCATAACATTAATTGCTTATGTTTCCATGCTAGCTAGATAACTTGATGTAAAACTAGCTATATTGATATGTCGAATCAATAATTTGGAACTAATCAGTTAATATTTTTGTTATACAATGCACTCGGCTAAAATCAAGACTTGCTTTTGATGAACAGGCTTTTCCATAGTTTTCGTTTCATCAACTGACCAATGCATCCGCGGTAACGTTTTTAGAAATACCAAGAGGTTCATTCGGCTTTAATAATTTAAAATTGATGTCTAACATATTTTCGTAGCCCCAACTCAATTCATTCTCTTTTCATGAGCACAGGACGTGAGCTCTTATTTCCTAACATAGATTATGACTTGCCAGAATACAGTAGCTAGATTCGGCGCGTATCGTTTTACTTTGAATATTTAACTTGCGATTAGGGATAGTAAGAAATGTATTGTTATAAATACCGACAGCTCATTTCCCCTCCTGTTTATTTCCCCGAAAAATATTTCGACACCAATTATTTTATCAAAGATCATTGTTTGTCAAACTGTAAGCAAAGCTCGATCTTAATGTTGGTCAAAACGCCCATCAGTTTTATTTTTACCCAGATCAACTATCAACAAAAGAAATATGATTGTTGGGCCGGGGAAATGAACGGCTCCCATTATAAATATTATGTATAAATGAAATATATTACTATTAGCGATATCGACTAATTATATAATACCTTTTACGAAGGTTTCAATTTTCAGCAAAATAAGATTTTTTTTTGACGACTTGAATAATGCTGCAAGTTTTGGGACTAGAATTGATGAAACGTTCAATCCCCCGAGGTCGATTCCAACAATGTAAAATGTCAGATAAGCGAATTTATTTTGAACCGCTTGTTTATAGGTATTTTTCATTAATACTATTTCTTATATTCTTTGAGAAACATCAATTGCGTAGGGTGTCTGAAAAGTTTTGACAATATATTTATTTCTTGAAGATGTACATAATAGTTTTGAAATAAATTGTTGAATTGCTCTCAGCCTATTTCTTCACCAATTCTGAAAGGCTTTATAGTAACCCTGTTATGAAACACTGCCTGGACAGCTTGTAGAAGACTTTCAACCTTCTAACCCTTCTTTTTGCTTTGTTTCTTTTTATTCTAAAAAATTCACAAGGAACTAGATCTGGGATTGTAATAAAGATGTGGCATCAATTAGACTCTTTCTCTCCTTAAACAATTTCTGCTTTATGAGGTGGTGCATTGTCATGACGTTGATATCCATCTTGAACACACTTTATTGACTATGTAAGATGTACTCAATTCTTTCTTCAGAAATCCAAATTTACTCCTCTATCATTGTTACAGTTATGGGGAATCATCATTTATCAGTTTCTCTACCTTTTCAATTTTTTTGCAGGCAACAGTTTCGCGAGAATGCCGCGAGCAGGGAGTCATCTTCAATGTTCTCATCTCCATCTTTCAATCCACCAGTAAACAGTGCGTTCAGACAACTCTCAACTCTTGGTAAATTTGCTTTGTAGTTTGACCAAACAAAATGCAATAATGCTGGCGTTCTCACGTAGTATTCTCCAATAGTTTTAAGGTAAGGATTTTTAAAGCAAATCAAATTGTGTCAGGTTTTTTATGCGATAATAAATAAAGGAAATCCGATTTAACGAAATATACAATGCAACTTTTTGGTGGTACTGTCCGACTAATCGAATTCGCGCATAATAACAAGAACAATCAATCAGTCGTCAAGCTCGCAAGCCTTTGTCTCTCAAAAACTTATATTCACTGAACATCTCAGACTACAAACTTGCGTAAAGGATGTCCAGTAGCAGGAACTCCCATCACAGAAAGCTAAATTTCAACGTCGGAGAGAATTATGAAGTGCTGGACGTGGTCGGAGAGGGGGCCTACGGTGTTGTGTGGTATGTTATTAAAGAATGACTCGTATCATACTTGTCCTTTATTCGGATTGCAGTCACAAACCCACTATTGTGACTTGCAATCGTCGAAGACATGATCAAAGGCCTTTGAATGTAGAAGATGGAAGTTTTGAGCACTCAATCCACCAAGATTTGATTGTTCGGGACGTACACTTGTTTCCAACTGCAATGAAGTAATTCACCCGCTTCAAACTTGTTAAAAATTTCTATCCGTCAAATGGGGCTGGCTGCTTTTAGCTCTGCTGTTCATAAACCGTCGGGTCAAAAAGTTGCCATAAAGAAGATAACCCCCTTTGATCATTCAATGTTCTGTTTGCGTACTCTTCGCGAAATAAAGCTCTTACGCTATTTCAATCATGAAAATGTGAGTATGGAACAGTATTTATTACTTATCTTTTCGTTCTTATCGTTTCATAACATTAACACTCTCAAAACTGAATTAGATTATAGCTATTTTGGATGTCGTAAAACCTGAAAGTCTGGAAAAATTCAACGAAGTGTAGGTTGTTTCGCGTTCATGTTGCATCAATCTATTACCTCAAACTTATGCTTTGATATTGTTAGGTACCTTATACAAGAACTTATGGAGACTGATATGCATCGTGTTATTCGCACCCAAGAGTTAAGCGATGATCATTGTCAATACTTCATCTATCAAACCCTTCGTGCTCTAAAAGCTTTGCATTCAGCAAATGTTTTGCACCGCGATCTGAAGCCAAGCAATTTACTTCTGAATGCCAATTGTGATTTGAAGGTCTGTTAAATTTGCGTTTCTGTTCATCACAATGTCTCAAATTAATGGGCTTTACTTCTCCAATGAAAGGTCTGCGACTTTGGTCTTGCTAGGAGCGCAAATTCTAGTGACGAACATAGTGGTTTTATGACCGAATACGTGGCCACTCGATGGTATCGTGCGCCAGAGATTATGCTCACTTTCAAGGAATATACGAAGGCCATCGATGTTTGGTCCGTCGGCTGCATCCTAGCAGAAATGTTAAGCGGAAAGCCATTATTCCCTGGGAGAGATTGTATCCTTTGTCGTTACGAAATCTTCTAATACATGGGTGTTTCATATCTTAACTCGGTCTTTGATGTTTACCCACATAGATCACCACCAGCTTACCCTGATTCTAGACGTTCTAGGAACGCCTACTATGGAAGATTTCTACGGTATTAAAAGCAGAAGAGTAGGTGAATCGGCGCTAAGCCTTGCAATGATTAATCACCGTCGTTACAACTCCTAAGTTTTTAATCGTCCGTATTCAGGCACGCGAGTACATCAGGACTTTGCCTTTCAAAAGGCGTGTTTCATTCGCTCAGATGTTTCCCGAGGCTAACACACTCGCGCTAGATATGCTTGAGAAATTGCTTGCGTTTAATCCAACGAAACGAATAACCGTTGAAGAGGCGCTGAAGCACCCGTATTTGGAACCTGTGAGTAGAATCACACTGATTTTTTGTTACCAGTAATCCGAAGTTACAATACTAATTGTCATCTGTGATTATTACAGTATCATGATCCTGAGGACGAACCGGCAGCCGATCCAATCCCTGAATCATTCTTTGACTTCGACAAGCACAAAGATCAGTTATCGAAAGAACAATTGAAAGGTACACGTTTTCGTTTTTTGTTATGTTATCTATTGAAATTGCTAATATAATTGTTTTTGGCAGAATTAATCTACGAGGAAATCATGCGACCTATATAATCATTCCGTATTGTAATTACTATAATCAAATCTTATTTATTCGAAATATTTACGGATATTATGATAGATATATATCCATTGATTTGTTTGTAAATTGTTTGAACCTCAATAAAAGGACAACACAGTTAAATGGGGCAACAAAACCAGACAAAGTGAACATTTTATAAATGAGAGGCTGATTATGATGTGGCTATAAAATTGACCAATGTGACTGATGACGTTTTGAAAAGTAATAATGGTGCTCATTTTTAATGCTCACTTTATCACACCAGAATGTGATGAATATAAATCATAATGTGATGAATATAGGACTATCCCTATATAAAAATAAAATATATGAAACTAATTTACATTAAATCCACCATGGAACCAAAGAATTACAGCACCATTAGAAGCATTCTAAAGAAAGCTCAAGGAGAGAAAATTGCCCCTTACATTTTTAAAATCAATGATACCCAAACTCTCCGGGAATATTTAGATAAAGAAAAAATCACTTATGAAGTTTACCAAGAAGAACGAAAGATAATAAATAATAACGAACATTGACCTCAACTTATGATAAACCAAGAAAGAAACGAAAACTTGAAGAAAGGTAAAGGGAAGCAGTTTAACGTAAAAGGCCTCCGCTGATCGAATGACCTATAAACGAAAGATCGTTCTTTATAGTCATGATAAAAGACTGCTTAAGCGCATCCGTTGAGCTTTGACACAATTGCAATTAAAACGTCAAACAACGTGAAAATATTTCAATTTTTTCGTAAGCATAAATTTTATTATTTCGATTATTGAATGCGCGCTCTTGAAAATATAAATAATACTAAATGCACCAGAGTGATTGCATGGGAGGAAAATACTCGGACCCAAAGCCATTTATGATTATAACCTATTCTTTGGTCACTCTGGTGCAAATTTAAATTTCATTATCTTCTTTACTATTACTAGTATTAATAACAATGTTATTATCCTCTATTTCGTCCCCATCTGAGTAGTTTACATTTTTCTTCTTCTCTTTATCAATCCAACATTGGATTGCCTCAATAGTCTTTTTCCGCGGAGTCGTTCGCCGAAGATAAAAATTTCGTATTGTAGAAGCTGCAACAGCTTTCACTTCAAGTAATTTATGAATTTCGAAAGCCATTTCGTTAAATGAAAATTTTGGATCCACTTTGATTCTTTTGTCGTATGATTGTTTAAAATCATTCCACAACGTTTCGACTTCTGGCGAATAAGTGACGGTTTTGTTATCAGTTGTAACTTTTTAGACTTTCCAGTCTTAGGTAATACGCCAGCACGATAGAGCTGGCTATTACAGATTAGCAGTTTACTAATAAACCAAGAACGAAACCAATTAACACTCCAAGGAAGAATTATGTGAACATTTTTCGCAAAGCGTTATACTGATGAAAATTGTTTGGTTTGTCTTATTAATGATATTTGTTGAGTTGCAGTTGTTTCTATAATAACATCTTCATCAATTATCATTGGTCACTCTGCATACAATGGACAAAATTGTGATGTCGTAATACTGACGTCATTGATAGAGCCACTGATCAGCGTTAGTATTAGTATATTAACGTTAATATTATTAATATTAATATTAATTATCCCTTAATCTGTAATAGTAAGCCAATTTTTGGCAAATTTGACACTTATTTTTAATATGCATTTTTGAGAACAATATTACTATTATATTTGTACTTTGACCGTTAAGAAAAATAATTTACCTTGTCCTGAAGATTTAAATAAGCTAAATTATATAGTGAAAAGATACGTGGTTGAAGAGTACTGTGCATTAAAAAATTTTTTTTAAATTTTTGCAAAATCTGCTTTATTCGGGCTATTATAGGGTATCATATTCTTAGACCATATTTTTTTTCTTTACTTTGTTGTGAGTCTAAAGAGTTAAATATCTCAGTAAACAGATGAGCCATTTGAAGACAGGCACTTACAGTATGTCCCTTAAATTCATACTTCCCCTCATACTTCCTCCCCCTGCTTTCTCTCTATCTATTTCTTGAGCTCTTACATTACTTTTAACGCTTTGTTTGTCTTCAGTGCTTTTATTATTGTTATTATTGCTCTGGTTTATATTCATATTTAGCAATTATGTCCTCCTCACTGAAATCTGTTTCTTCATTATGACGACTTATGAACTAAATAATATTACAAGCCTAACATGACTTCAAAGTTGGTACAATAAGACATTTTTTACTAAAAATATCTACAACAGATAATTAACTAACAGTTTATAACGTTAACGTATGGGAATTATAACGTTTATTAGCACCATCGGCGATTGATCGATATTAGGGTTGTCAAGACTTACGATTAGCATGACGTATTCCTCCGTGATTTCCGATGAGTTACACGAACATTTCCAAGCCGCAGCG